TTGCCGCGGTAATATTGTTGCTTAGACCGCATTTCTTTTGAATTACCTACTTAATATTTTTTTATTTTCCATTGAATTATATGGTTCTCAACGTTTTATGAAACAATGTATCTGTCCAAACATATCCAATTAAATTTCAACTCTTTACGCGCTCTCGATAAAGGGTTTTGACAGACAGACAGAGGGAGGGACAGGACAACAAAGTGATCTTACAAGGTTTCCGTTCCTAATGAGGTACGGAACCCTAAAAAGAACTTACATTAATGATAATAAGTATTAAGAGTGTGGATTACTGATACTGCTCTTGACACAATGTTTTTAAAGAGTTTGATTTTTATTCTTCAGTTTTTATTTTTAAGAACTTTGTCCGTAATGTAGGCCTCGCTCGATTAGTTTTCATGATAGTGTGCTCCTAGAAGGCGACGACGTCTATAAAATGCTGTAACTTTTCTTGGCCAATGGTTTCAAAAGAGGCCTGGCAGATTTTTTTTTTCATTCATAGTTTTCGTAATTGTAAATTATGTTTCTATGTCCATTTTGGTGAAAAGTCACCAAATATACTTAAAATTTAAGAAGACACAAAGGATTTGATGATAGAATTTAAACACTGTTTATTTGTATTAAACGAAAACAATAAAATCAGTACCCTTAGTGCGATCTCACGAAAACTATCATAGTTTTCGTAATTGTAAAACTCGTACTAAGGGTACTGATAGTTAATCGAGTAGTTTTCGCGACAAATTTCTCGTAGAAGGAAAGCCGAGGGTGTTTTAAAGCTAGTTGGTTCTCAATCTATGACTGCGCCTGCATGCGGTACCGATTTCCGTTCAATACAGGGCTGCCAAATAAATTTTTTTCGTAATCAGTTTACAGCTTAAAAAGTATGCCCAGTTAAACACTATTTGGTTTTTATAAAATTAATTTTGCTAACGCCTCGTAATCAGTGAAAACTTCGCTGTTGTTTTGTAATGTTCAAAACGTTTCTTGATATCCCGTTTCTTAAAGTTTTTCGACGGAAATTGTTTTTCTTTTTAAATACATAGGATACAAAGTCTTTAAAATGATAAAATAGTAACGGGATAGGGATTTCCCAACTAGAGACTAAGTCCAGAAAGAGAAAGATTTCCGTCTCAAATAAATGTCGCCAAGTGCCATATTGTTTTCAGTATGGCATTGCCACGTTGACTAAATGTATAATCATGGGGCTGACAAAGTCGCTCAGCGACTAAAGCCTTTTACTAAATAAAGATTAAAATAACAGTATTAGTCGGTAATCGAAGGAAAAATCTTAATAGAATGATTGTAAAAAATCGTACGTTTTCCGTACAATTTCGATGTTCGATCGTACTCTCGTAAAATCGCAAAAAATCTTACCTACAAATAAGATTGCAATTGTAAGAACAAATCGCAGCCCTGGGTCAATACTTAAACAGTTGCACTGTTGTTTAGACATTGCCGTTAAAATATCCCAGTCGTTCGTAGTATTAATAAATTGCTTAGTATTCTTACGTTTCTTGTGAAACGCGTGCTTGTTTGCTTAGGTACGAGTAAGTACATGATTCAATGAATCCACGCATAGAAACGCAGAGTTAGTGATTTATAATATTTCTGGACTAATTTAATTAATTATTAGTGTTTACCAAAGTCAATGTACTTTTTATTTTTGGCGTATTATTTTTGTAAAATGTTCTATCTACTCGGTACTATGTAGTTTTTGTAGTAGGCGTAAGTAGGTTACGCTTACGTAAGAAAGAAAAATATCATTATTAATTAAATATACACAGTCAGGTCATAAGTATTGTCACACAGTAAAAACTTTTCTTTTAGAATGCTGACCACAAAAAAGTTTATTGAATTCGAATTTCGAATTGTTCATGAAAATAAAAATGTATGCTATTTAGAATTTTACTCATTTTTAAATATGGGGTGGACGCTTAAAGAAGACCGTGTTGCAGTTATTGCGTTGCATCGTTGTGGTTACGCGCCAATTCAAATTTTTGACATACTCAAAATTTTCGAACGAACGAAAATAGATTCGTTTATCGTACCATCAAACGATACAATGAAGATTCTAGTGTAGATGACAGGTGAAGAAGTGGTCGCCCTTGGTCTGTTAGGACTCCAGCAGTGCTAAAAGCTGTGAAGGCGCGAATTCATAGAAATCCCAAACGTAAGCAGAAACTGTTGGCCCTTCAGATGGGGTTAAGCAGAACCACGATGAAAAGGGTGTTAAATGAAGACTTAGGGCTTCGGGCATATCGAAGAAAAACAGGACATCGTTTGAATGCTCGTCTAATGGACCTGAGACTGAAGAGATGCCGCGCTTTGTTGAAGCGGTACGCGGGAAAAAAATATCGGAAAATTCTTTTTTCGGATGAAAAAAAGTTTACCGTAGAAGAGAGCCACAACAAACAAAATGATAAGGTGTACACACACAGTAGTAAAGAAGCGAGCAACCGTATTCCGCGTGTCCAACGAGGTCATTTTCCATCCTCGCTCATGGTATGGTTGGGAGATTCTTATTGGGGCTTAACAGAGGTATATTTTTGTGAGAAAGGTGTAAAAACGAATGCAGTTGTGTATCAAAATACAGTCCTGACGAACCTTGTGGAACCTGTTTCTCATACCATGTTCAATAACAGGCACTGGGTATTCCAACAAGATTTGGCGCCAGCTCATAGAGCGAAGAACACACAAGACTGAAATCGAGCGTGAAATCGACTTCATCCGGCACGAAGACTGGCCCTCCTCCTGTCCAGATTTGAGTCCGTTAGATTACAAAATATGGCAACACTTGGAGGAAAAGGCGTGCTCAAGGCTTCATCCCAATTTGGAGTCACTCAAGACATCCTTGATTGAGGCAGCCGCCGTTATTGACATGGGCCTCGCTCGTGCTGCGATAGACGACTGGCCGCGTAGTCGTAAGGCCTGTATTTAAAATCACGAAGGTCATTTTGAATAAACTTTATTGTCATAAGAATCTATGTTTTGTTAAGTTAATTTTGGTATATAAATGGTTACATAATGAATAAACTTGTTTCAATTATTTTATATTAAACGTGTGACAGAATTTATGACCTGACTAGGTAGGAATACAGTTGCTTCACTAATTTACAATTTTGTTTTGATAAATAAGAGTAAAATCTCTTTCAAATTTTAGTGAGCGTCAGAATGGCCGGTCACTACCCATATTTTACATCGAAATAATTATAGAAAGTTGCTACCTAGTTGCTTCTAGTTGCTACTAATCGTTAAATAGTTGCTACCCCCGATTAAAACAAAATAAACTACTTTTTAATTTAAATATTGATTCAAATTAATCACAGTTTATGACAAAAGGATATTCTTGTCATTCTATTTGATAATATTTTCATGAAAACATTAATGTTTATTTATATGAATTGCTGAAGAATAAGACTATTTATTCACACAAAATCTTGGACAACAAAGGAGCAAGAACAATGACTTAATTAACGATGGGCCCCTGTCGTTCGGCTACCTCGAGGCGTGTTGAACAAAATTGTGCAAATATATTCATTTCATTATACACAATTTTGTGTTTATCGTACCTACCCTTGTTCAGTTCCCTTAATTATAAGGAACTTTTCCATGTTTCTGATGTTATTTACTTGGAATTTTAATAAGTTTTGATAGCTATCAAAGCGCTAATATTTTACCTTTCTTGTTTAGAAATGATTTACACTTTTCTATTTCCTTAGTTTTCTTAAGATTCTGAAGTATCTGTACCGTTGAATCTTGATTTATTTAATGAGTGGCGTGCTTGAAAACCTAAGAACCAAATATATCTGATCTTATGACACTTCATAAGCTTATCAACGGAAAATTGATTTGTACAAATCTAATTAAACAGGTGAATATTAAAGTCCCTTATCGAATACCTAGACATCCGATGTCAAAAAGCTTTGATCTCCCTCGCAACAATACTAGACTTGGTGAGTGTGCTCCTCTATACCGGTGTATGCGTACCTACAATGATTTACAAGACTGCAGTGTCGACATTTTCCACAATACTGAGCGAGTATATAAGAGGTTGTTTGTGGAAAAAATAAAATTAGACCGTAACACAGACTAAATAATATTATGATTCAGTATACCTGTTTTTCACGATGGTGTATATATTTTTTTGTTTGTTTAATCTGTCATTGTAGTTTATTTGTATTTATGTGAATGTTGTATTCACCTATTAAAAAGCATATCTTTAAGTATGGTATTTATATATTTTTTCAAATTGTAATGTAAAATTATATGTCGTTGGTGAATCTTTGTCAATAAAATAAAAAATAAATAAAATATTTGTGTAGTGAATTTTTTATCCATTCTACGTTTTTATCAATCTAAAATAGCAAACTTTATAATTTATTATAATGAGTATTCATACCAAGTTTTAAGTCTATTAACTTAAAGAATAAGTTTTTTCATACAAGCTTTCATCCCCTTATTTACTCGCTTAGAGGGAGATTTTGGGAAAACCCTGATACACGATGTTCTTTATTTCCAGTCTATAGTAATACCAAGTTTCGTGTTAATCGAAATGCGCGTTAAAATTCATCCATCTAAGAACTTCGACACCCTCCCACTCCCCTTTTAGGGGGTAGTTTAAGAAAACTCATAATGACAAACTTTATAATTTATTTAGATATGTATTCGTGCCAAGTTTCAAGTAGTCTATTAACTCTAAGAACAAGATTTTTCATACAAATTTTCATCCCCTATTTTAAACCCTGGGGGGGAGGGGCACCTGTTATAATTATAACATAATAAAAATAAACATCTCAATTTTATCCCAGAGACATTTTCGCGCTGCGCTTGCAATCTAGGCCATACAGTAATGTTTGTAAATCACAAGGTATATTATTAGCAAGGCATGATGACACTTTCGTTGCATTGCTCAGTCGAAGTAGATATTTAGACCACATGTTTGCTAAACAATGAGTCATTGCGTTTATTATTGTTTTAACCGACTTTTTTATTGTCACCAGATGAGCAGAATGAGTATGAGCTGATATCCCGGAGTGCAGTCATCGACGGCGGTTGAAATGGGGCGGACGCAGTACATAGCGTGCGCGCTTCTTCTATTGTGCCCGCTTGCTTTAAGTCGGCACGATGACGACTTCGCTTTCGACAATAGCGACGAGTTTCAGGTTAGTAGACCTTTTTCCCTATTTGCTAGTATGCTTCCTTGTCTTCGTGATGTGTGTAAAAGATCCTTTCTTCTACGAAATATGTAGAATATAAACGCTTCTAACTAAACTATGATTTTGTGATATACTTACGAGTACTGTTAGTATACTGTTTGCCGATGCGTTTAAGATTAATCATTAACAGTACTAAGGTGCAAATTTGTTAGATCACTTCGAACTCGATATTTCTAGGTATGTTTACAAAATGGGTCGCTGACCTTCCGTCTGGTGCAGGTGCTGTCAGGGCATGGATGTTTTGGCAGCTACCTGCACCGAATCCGGAGGGAAGCGACCCCGTCATGTCATCATTGTGGCGCTGTCGGGGACACGGCACAGCACACCCTTGAGGAGTGCTCGTTGTGGTCTCGGCAGTGCCATGATATGGTCATGGCAGTAGGAAGGGATCTCTCGTTGCCCAGCGTCGTTAAAGCGATGCTGGACAGCGACAGATCCTGGAACGCGGTCGTCTCCTTCTGTGAGGAAGTCATCCTACAGAAGGAGACAGCGGAGAGGGCCCGCGAGGGGGACGCCCGGGCCGGCCCTCTCCGTCGCCGACGACCGGGGGGAAGGCGGCGGCAGTACGACCGCCTCTTTCCACCCTAGTGGGACTGCGGGCGGCGGACAGGGTGGTCCGTCGCTTGCATTGCACAGTCTCACCCGTCGAGGGGGGATGCCTAGGTGCTCCCGGGCATCCCCCTGACCACCAGGAGGAGGAGGAATTACTGCCCGGGTAACGTGGAGCGTCATCCGGATCCCACAAAACCCGTTTCGGCAGACGAGGGAGCGCTGTTGGGTTTTTAGTGGGTAGGGCCCCCCATTTGGGGGGAGGAGGAGTCCCACATAACCCCGCCACTCACCCGGGGCGGGGTATGCGTAACGCATTTTCCCAACATTAAAAAAAAATGGTATGTTTACAAAACATTCAACTGAATCAACAGTTATGAGAAACTCAAGATGTGCTTTCAAATATTGATAGAATCGTGTAGTAAATATATATAGTCGGTTACCCTTTGAAGGTAATTCTTTATCGCGAAATATTTAGGTAAAGGATTTCCCTTATTAATTTGCCACAAAGATTTGATTATCAGCTTGTTTCTTTTTATTTACAGCTTGAACTTACAGCAAACCATTCAGAGATAGCAAGAAACGGCCTAAAAAGACTATGGGGTGTACCGGACACGCCGGCGTACGTCGGGCATCTCTTCCGGATGGAAATACCCAAAGAAGCCTTTACCGGAGAAGTGTTAGCGTATAAGGTAAAATAATGTTGTCGCTTCTTTTGAGCCTCTTTTCTCAGTTGTTATGTACAACAAAGTTAATAATTTGTTATTAATCGACATTTAATTAAACTATAATTGTTTGTGACGATCACGCTCGTGTATTATCTGTACCTGATGCATAAAGTAAAGAAGAATCTTACCGCCCGGCAGAGTAGGTATATGGCTAGTGCAACACTGCTGATGCTGGTGCATTATGATGTAACGTGAAAAACCGGGCTTGTGGGTTAAATAAAAGAATCGACTGAAATTAGCATTCCATTTATTGGTATAAAATAATTAAGTTTCTTCATATTAAGGAACACTCAGTTAAATAAAGTTAAGTTTAAGGCGCTGGCTGAAGCTGCAAGGTCACGCATAAATCATGCATGCATGCATGTTCATTTTATTTTTGGCAATTGATAAAAAATATAGACCTACAATGCTACAATGACCAAACTGAACTAAATGTTGACTTCTAAACATATGGATATGGTCCTTTTAATCTTATAAAGGAACTATTATTCTCGTGTTTAGATTTAAAACTTCTCTTTGACCTAAGATAATATCAAAATTCTCGATAGCACAAGTGCGATCTAAAAGTTACTTACTTAGCAACTGCGATCGTAAAGTTAAGCTTCGGAAAACAAACGTTAAGCCGTTGGTCCCGGCTGCGTGCAGTTGTTATCAACCACAAATCCGCACTGATGGCCGTTCGTGGCCCAACCTCTATACCATGGAGGTTAGAGATAAGAAGAATGATCGCTACGTACTAAAGCATTAGCCCGCCTGCCCTGAAAATTTGTAGAATTTATAGTTTATTTTTCAGCCACCAGCCATGCTGCCGTCGGTAAGTAGTATCTGTGAAGTTAGCTGTTTATGAGTACAAGTAGATGAAGTTAGCTGAATATTGTACAAATTTTCTTCGCGGCATTGGTCATTTCAAATTAGCCCGCTTTTATTGAGACACCTTAGCGATCGCAGCGCCTCACTTATTTCTGGGACACTATTTTCTATAGCGTTCGTTATCTTTCTCTCAAACCTCCATGCTCTATACCATCCTTAGTTAATCTGTACCCTCGCAGTGGGGATATTAATAAACAGATGATCTAACCGCCAATGTTTCAGGTTCGACGCGAAGACGGGCGGCGCATGCCCAGCTGGCTGGCCGTGGACTCAAAGCACGGTCTGATCAGCGGCATCCCTCAGCATGGCGACCTAGGTCCGCACACCTTCACAGTCACCGCGCACGGTCGAACACATGGCCTCACCGCTACAGATTCCTTCACCATAGAGGTATGTAAGCGCAGTTAATGCTGCCACTTGGCTTTTCGTATTTGCCATTTGTAACTTTAAGTAGAGAGAGCGAGAGATGAGACATTGCATTACTACCGACAACTTTGCGTCATATGACCTAGCTATCATGACTCAACTCAGCATTGCTGATATTTTCTCGCGTACCTCTTAGCTACCTAGCTATTTCTACAATAGTGGTGAAGCAGACTCCTTACTATTTTTGGACATTCTCACTGTATCTTACGGTGCTCCGTGATCTTTACTATAATAGAGACTATGTATATATCGATACCTTAATCGGCGTGTCTAGCATATCTTTGGCTGCAGTGCAGTGGCGCTACTGTCAGTTCTACAGATTGCAGGTATAGGTAGTAGTTGTAATGTAAAATGAGCTACTTTTACTAAGTATCAAACATTGGAAAGGTGAATCTCACCTTTAATATTGTCTCTAGAGATATAAATCGCAGCTTAATGCATATTTAAGCAACTGATGTATAATGAGGCAATCACATGAGTGTTTTAATACCTAATTGTAACAGTTCCATACAAGACTTTATCTACACCCATGACATGAATCCTCTATAAAAGATTCTGAAACCATGTTCTAAGAACTTAAAATTAATGAAAAGTTTCTGCGATGTGGTAGCTAGCGTGTTAGTGAAAAATGCGTGAATGGCAATTTTCTATTTTTGAAATTCATAATACCACGCATCGAGCAGTGAAAATTGTGGCTGTCTGATGATTAAGTCTTGAGCGCGGAAGCGATTTAAAAAGCGAAGGAGTTTTATATGAAAAGTACAACATCTTATCCGTTTGTGTAATAGTTTTTTTATTGTTATTATGATATGGGATGTTTTAATGTTGGCAATAAGCCAACTGTTTGTAGATAAAATAAAATTAAAAAGTTGATTGGCTCTATATGTTTACATCTCTTTCCGTTCCAGGTGAAAAAAGCCGAAGAGAAGCCTCATTCGAAGTACGGCACGTGCATCGGCAACGAGAAACGCCTGATCCTAATCATCCTCATAGACGGGGCGTTCCAGCATATACCGTCGAGACAGCGGATCCGCGCGCTCATGGAGCTTGCCAACTTTATGGCTATCGATGGAGTGAGTTCATCTGTGCCCATTCCATGACCTGGAGAGTTCTATTTAAAAGATCTAAATGTGTTACTTTAAAATAAGAGCGTGTTCAGGTAACCTGCGCCTGCACGGTTTTACTTCGGTAAATGGAATTGAGAATGAATTTGAGATTTCTTGATGTGTCATAATCATAAAACTCAAAATATACAGCTTTTTTCAAAGTCTGTTAGATGCTATTTCTGACGTGCTTATCGTCTGAATAAGGCTTTGAACCAGCGGGGCTATACTGTAAAATTTTCACATGCGGATCCGATGCGATTCCACGCGAATCTATATGGTAAATGCGGGGCGCGTGAAAATTTTACAGAATAGCCCCGCAGGTCCAATATAATCGGATGGCAACGAGCCATATGAAGAAACGAAATTATCTGTTTTGTGGGATTAGTGCCTGTCCACATCTCCACGTCACGACGTCGTCATCGTAAAACGGTGCAGGTAACGATGCACGGTGCATTGTCATAACGTGCAAAACGACCAAATTGGCATGTTACCGGCTCCTTTGTGCAACGTTACCGGCACCGTTTCACGTAGATGATGTCTTTACTTGGAGACATGGACTTACGTCGAAGTAGTGTATGGAGTACGATCGGACAAACACATTTGGAACATAAAAAAAATAATGTTATCTGTGGTGTACAATAAAGTGTTTTGTATTGTATCGTAAAGAAGCAGCAACGTACATACTTAAGTAATTGATAGTTTTACCTTATGTTAAGTGGTGATGGAGAGACGCTAAAATATCTCGTGCAGCAGTTTTCTTTTACACACTTACTTACTTTGTTTGTACGAATTAATCGCCGAAACTATCGAATCGATTTTGGAAATTCTTTCTCCAGTAGAAAGCTATATTATTCCTGAATGACAGGCTCCATTATCACGTTAATATAAACTAGCAAAGCCGGAGCAGGCCGGTAGTATTAAATAAGGATTTTTCTGTATTTTCAGTTAATATTAATGAATTGTGTTGGTTTGCAGGAAGAGTTCTGGATTGCTCCGTACAAGTCTGACTCTGAGCAGGCCCAGAGCGTGCTTATGGCCGGGCCGGGCAACTCGCAGCGGAGGCGAGGCGACGCCACTACTGCTATCTATCTCAACGTATGTATGACTTGTTTGTGTGAAGAGTTCTGGTTAGTGCCGTACAAGTCTGACTCTGAGCAGGCCCAACGCCGCTCATGGCTGGGCTGGGCAACTCGTAGCGGAAGCGAGGCGACGCCACTACCGCCATCTATCTCAACGTATGTATGACTTGTTTGTGTGAAGAGTTCTGGTTAGTGCCTTACAAGTCTGACTCTGAGCAGGCCCAAAGCGTGCTCAGGCTGGACCGGGCCACTCGCAGCGGAAGCGACACGACGCCACTACCGCCATCTATCTCAACGTATGTATGACTTGTTTGTGTGAAGAGTTCTGGTTAGTGCCTTACAGGTCTGACTCTGAGCAGGCCCAAAGCGTACTCAGGCTGGGCCGGGCAACTCGCAGCGAAAGCGAGGCGACGCAACTACCGCCATCCATCTCAACGTATGTATGACTTGTTTGAGTGAAGAGTTCTGGTTAGTGCCGTACAAGTGAGAGCAGGCCCTGAGCGTGCGCATGGCCGGGCCGGCCTATCCATCTATCTATCTCAAAGTACATAACGTAATCGATTGTAGTGTTTTATAAAATGTATTCATGCTTTCAGGTGGGGTGCGGCGAGAAGATGTGGTCTAGACACAAAGTGCTGGTGGCCGGTATAAGAGAACAAGCTCGTGACGGTACATTGGCGCATCTCTTACGCCTTCCCGTACTGGGATGGCGACTGGCCGCTGCGCGTGCGCCGCCTCGACACAAGCGTCAGGTAAACTATCACTAATGGCCTTCCTCAGAGAAATCAGTTACATTGAGTGCTCGTCTTAGTGATAAGTCTTCTTAACTTAAATTTAGACTTTCTGTACTGAATAGCGAATGGCCGCTGCGCGCGCGCTGCCTCGGCATAAGCACCTCAATTTACATTATATCACGTTTTTATCACATCCAACTGTCAAATTCCATAGTAATTTGACAATTGAGCGGGATAAAAATGCGTTATATCATATCGCGGTGCTCATGCTAAAGGGTCTGAGACATCAGTAAAATTTAATACTTTGTGCTTCAACCACAGACGAGGTCGAGGCACACACAAAGTCCTGGTGGCCGATATAAAGAGCTGCACTGTAACGCATCGCATAAAAAACGACTGCACTCTAACGTTGTGCATTTTTGATATTTTGGAATGGTTAGGGAATAATATTGCAACAATGCTTTAATTGTCAGTATAAAAGTACTATCATTTATGTGGTAGAATACAATATTTATTTATTGCGCTATCGTACACAAACATGACAATTTATATTACATTAAAAACATTCTGGACGTCCTATAAAGACTTATTATTATAATACGATAAAATAAGATATAACTATGTTTCGTCCAATATATTGAAAGTCAACAACCCTTCCAATTTTATTGTTTTCGTCTTACGCCACGTGTCCTGACGCGAGCTTAACATTTTTACCCAGAAAAAAAAAGTTCACTTTGGTATATTTTAATATGAACTATCGCACACTAAAGGCGGGCCGCATTGGGTCGCATCATAATGTACTGGGCGATATCTTGCGAGGTATAATTTTACGGCGATGTTATTCGTTACGATCCGAAAGAGTCATACTTTATGTAAAATTCCATGACCAATAAAAAAAAATATTGATAACGATTAATAATAATAGTGAGTAAATATGACAAATAAAGGTAGTCCTTACGCAACACGCTTTGACGTCCGATTACTGATTTGCTGTAATGTAATGAATGACAACTAACTTTGCACCTTATTCCAACAGCACAACGACATAATTTTACTAACTTAATTTTCAGTATATGTATAGTGCAATAAGTATTCGTACATCTATTGCGGTTTTTGACGCGTTCTATTAAACTGATCGATTGTGAACCTAGTTAAGTGCAGGTAAAAATAACTACCTTCGTTAAACACTGTTATATTTTACTACGATATAATACATATAACTACAATGATACTAGGTGATTTGCTAAGTCGCCAACAAACAGCTTCCTGTCCGTCGAAAAGCTTTTATTATATCGTCTCCGTTCACAGCTCCACCATGTTCATACATAAATACATTATATACATTCACGTCATATATCCCTCGCTAGGTAAGCAGAACATCAAAGATATAGTGCGATTCAAACTTTAAATATAATATCAAAGTTGTGAAGTTAGCAGCGAGCGCAACTATGTGCAGATCTAGTTCAGTGACATCCCGCGCGCGCCGACATCATTATATATTTCGTTTTCTGTGCCGCGACTTACGCTGACTTCACATTTAGTGACGTAGGGTCAGTTCGCCTGTTCGCGTCCATTTAGTGCAGTTGCAAAGTTTGACGGCGATGATAAAAATATCCCAGTTCTAATTACTATGAAAAATTTATGTAATGTGTTCATTATATAGTCTATTTTAAGATTAACTTACAGTTTTGTTCGAAACATCTATTGTTTTTTATTTAAATAGATAAACTTCGGAATAAGGCGTTTTACCCACTTTGCGTCCACAAAATCCAAATTGCGTCCACCCGTGGAACATTTAGCGTCCACCACCTTAGAAAAGGAATATAGGGGTGATATTTATAGAATTTGTATAGAAAGATGGTACCTATTTTAACAATTTCTTTATTTTAGAATATAAATATTAAAACCAACATTATTATCATTAAAATTATCAAAATTTAAAAAAATAAAAAATATTCTTCTCAATATTGATTGAATTTAAAATTATATAAGTAGTAGATAAATAATGATTGCATCTTTAAGAATAAACAGTAATCAGTTTTGTTAATTTTACCCTAAAATCACAAGGTATGTTTTTCTCATTGTCGTCTTCTACATCTGAAATTAGTATATCGTCACATACAGAAAAAAATCTTTCTTAAATTCCTGATTTACCATTTCCTGTGTGACTTCTTGAAGAGCATCTTCGACCTTCTTCTTTCGTTTTGGAGCAGTTTTACGAACCGTTTGAGATTGTTTTAAACTCTGTTCTTGTTTCTCTATCCGTTCTAACTTTCTTTTTCGTGTTGCTTCCTGCTTTTCATTCTTGATCTACTCTTATCTTCTTAATACTGGATACATGGAGAACATGCAGCAGGAGATATGGTTGCTAGAGTTCTTTGATTATCTTTTCGTGCTTTGTTAGACATTTCGGGTAGCATCAGGTGGAGTCTGGTTCCGGTTTCTTTACTACATTTGGTCTGCGCCCACTGATTTTGTACAATATGTCTATGTGTCTTACCGATTTAATCTTTTCTCGAATTTCTTTTAACGCTTTCTTTAAAGCGTCTTCTGTGTATATTCTCTTTTCCTTCTACTTTCTTGTCTCCGAAGAACTCATCTCAAATAGAAAAAAAATAAGAATGAAACAAATAAAGTATTTGATTGATTGATTGAAATTAATCATTTCATTTAAAAATAGCATTAAAAACACGTAGTCTTAATAAAAATGTATAATAATAATCAATACCTATATTTTAAATTATAATTAATTAATTGTATTTAACGAAAATAGTGGACGCAATTTGGTTTATTATTATCCCCTGTAGGTTTAGTTTGCGTCCATTGCGGACGCAAATTGGAAGTTTTGTAATTTCGATGTAGTAATTCGCGTCCACCTTATTTTATTTATTAAATATAAAAAACATAAGAAAATTTATAAGTATTAACATTCCTTTCTTCATTATAAAAGTCTAGAAACAGCTATGTATCCTAAAATTAACATAAAAAAATAAAAATCTTACCATCGAACGCGTCGCTGCACACTATTTTTTATCTACACATACCGCGTGTACGCACTCCCTTGATGAATAACCGAGACTATTTTTTTTTTAAACGGGATTGTTTGGCGCACCTACCTTTTGACCATGTGTTCGTGCCTCTTATATATTAAGGTATTAGCGGTAATTACTTTTTGTTTGATTGGTGTGTTAGTTTACTTATTATTGAGGATTTTTAAGGGAGATCCGTAAAATGGACGCGAATTGGGCGATGGACGCGAACAGGCGAACTGACCCTAGTTACCCTAATGCCAAAATTCGGAAAGAGTGGTAGGCTGCGTAGGTGGCGAAAAGCCGCTGCCTGGCACCAAGCATGGCCGCTTTTAATTGAAAATGAAAAATTTTCATTACAACATTACCAGTTTACAAATCAACATCACCCTGACTCCGGATGTAAGTAAAACTTGTGAATCAGAAGCCTGTCCCTTCCAAAGATGATAAAAACTTAGTAGGTATGGTTAAATTTAGACTAATGAGAAATGAGAGAAATAAAACCACTAACAATTTGGTTTTTAATTAGGTAGCTAATCTTACATACGCCGCTATTCACTGTCGCAATTAAGTTTGAATCGCACTCTACAGCTTGGGAGCTCGGGAGACATATCAACGTCGGTACATCCAGCATGTTCATTCATCATTTATTCATTTATGTATCATCAGTCGGACATGGACGAGGGCTCCGGCCTCGACGATATCTACGACGACGAAGGCGACGCCGATGACGGCGAGGACGACTTCAGCGGCGACGGCTACGATGATGATTACGGCGAGGTAAAGACTGTAATCCGTTCATACAACATTCATACGTTCAACAGTCGAATCTAATCATTTATTCATTTATCAACGGTGTAAAAATACCTCTAGACAGTTTTCTTACTTTGTTAGTAGTGAGCCGTGAGATGCTGTTATTATTAAGGCACTGCGCTGCGTTAATTGGGAGCATGGAGCGGACGTCCGCTCCGCGTTCAGTTATATGTCAATTCATTGAACTGCGATAGAATACCAGCCTCACGCAACGCTGCTCTATGAAACAACATGAAACTGCACGCGTAGCTCGGTGTTCTCACTTAACGCAGCGCACGCCCTAAAGTAAATGAGCCTTTTTTGTTAGTAGATTCAGTGAATGTATTAAAAGCCCTTTTACAAAATTGCGCCGCTGCAGTTTAGGTAAATACAGCCACGAGCGTGTCCGAGTCGCACGAGCGAGACATCGACGCGGCGTTGTTCAGTTTAACGCGCTTTACCAAATTGATACTTTAATATGTAATTAGTGGATTATACAATAAGTCCAAATATAAAAGAAATTTAATTTGAGGTGCTAAGATAGATCCCTACTGTAGCAACGAAGGATTTTAGATAGGATTCCTAAGTGGAGCAAAGGATATAAGGATTAAGTTTTTTTACTATTTATTATTGTGAGAAAATAAATAATATATTTATCGTACCCATTGGTTGTGTTTTGAAAGGAAAATAAAGATTATTTATGATTATTACTAATAATTATAACTTTATGTGTATGATTTGTATAACTTCTGTTTATTCAACTTTTTTTACTCAGTATTTAAATGAATATTTTGTTCACTGTTATCGCTGAATGAAATCCCTTTTTCTTTCAAAGTAAGAGAGTAAAAAGTCTTAAGAAGTAAGAGAGCCATTACCGGCCTTTTCGGGGGTTCTAAAGGCAGTGTTAGAGAAAGAAATAAGAGAACTCCGCTCATCCAACCCATTAGCAACGACACAACCAGCAATGATGTTACATAATCTGCTTGCTGCCACACTCCCCGCACCCTTTGGAATGTGACGCTGAACACGAACTATGTCCCTAAGTGTTACAAGCTGATCGAGTAATATGCAACGGTCGCAAGACTGCGGATTAGCTGCTTCCGGCGAAGATGGGGCAAGAACCGGTGCGGCAACGGACGGTGGCGGCGGGGCTGAGATAGGGGACTGAGTACATCCCTGTGGATGCGCGTAATATGTATCTTGAGACCTCGTGACGTAAATTTTCGTGATGAATTGTGGCAATAGGGACACGTCGACTCAGGGAGACTACTCATTGTATACAATAAAAAAAACAATATAAAATAGAAATATCGTTACCGTTTATAAAACAAAACTGACAAATCAATAAATATACATAGTACATTTCTTGCAGGGGTGCAAAGTTATTTAAAAGCTCAAACAGTATTTCAACGTAATGAAAAAGCCAAGAGATACCTCGAGAAGTTGAGCGAGTCGTTCGATCAAGTTATGTAGTTGATACAGTCGCCGCAGTTCATTAAGTTGCACCTGCCGCTGTTGCTGCTGCCGCCCGCGCTGCTGGACTCCTGCCGCGTGGTGCACGTGGCACGCGACCCCAGGGACGTGACTGTCTCCTCCTACCACCACTACCACTTCTTTATAAACACCGGCTACACAGCCAGCTTCAAAAAATTCACTAGAACTGGATTCAATAAAAATACAGCGACGAAACATAATATATCATTTGAAAGCTTGTTTTTCATAATAACATGAACAGATACTTTAAGTTTCTTAATTATCTCCAATTAATTTTAAATCGTGTTTCAAAATTGCACAATTTTGTAATGATGCTGTCATAAGTAACGTCATATGTCAAGTGTATATAAGTTTTAGTATTGACTTTTTTTATGATGAATGGTGTTTGGTAATAATCGAATATTTCAGTAAAACTGTATTAATTATAGTTTTATCTTTGCCTTCGCAGTTCATTTAATAAAAAGTTTTCTCACTCTGTATCTGCAATATTTCTGTAAGAGATTTTGATAAAAAATTAAAAAGCATGTTTTATTGTATTCGTGTATTTTCTATGCATTTAAACAAAACCCGTCAAAAGCATTTAACTTTCATAGGTACTCGTCTCTTGCCCACCTAACTCATGAAAATTTTGCTGCATGTTATCGTATGGAAATATGATAAATAATATGAAACTGGAGCTGGGAAAGTTCACACCTCCTCCATCACTATTCGCTGCTATATGCTGCAGTATTCAGGACGAATCTTGATCCACACATTTCACATTTTACCACAAAGTTAGATATGAAACCCAATTTCTTTTCTTTTTCTATTTTAATATGATTCATTTTGCAGTCAAACTTTTCATGGATATCAACTGATTCCAAAAATAATTGAATCAATTATACTTTTTCCATCAACCATGTACTGAAAACAGATTATCTAATTGACAACAATAATACTTTTTATTGACTATCTACACAAATAAACAGATTTTGGCAATTCTGGAAATACATTTCTAATCAAGACACAGATAAGGTACATAAATCAGCAAGTTACTGTCAATTGAACTTATGGAGCAAAGAAGTCTAAATATAAAATATTAAAAATAAACTTTTTTACTCTAGAACTGCATCCATCATTTGTTTAAGTTTAAATAAAAACAAACTCCTAACATTGTAAACTATGTACCTACTCTAGTAGTGAAATACGCATTAAGTCTGTATAAAGCAGATAAAATATTTTGTTCCTCGGCTTTGATTTCCAATCCAACAGATTTTTTTCCTATATAATTAAATATGTTATTTTAATTTCAATTTCTCTTTTCATTATCTACTTCCATTATCAACATATAAACTTATAGTTTCCGTTACAATAGAATCCATTGAAATTATGGTCGGTATAGTTTCAGTATTTTTGCGCAGCGGCAATTTTCTCTGCGGGGTTGGCATTAGAATTCTGTTACCATCTAAATTAAAAAGAGCTGTAAAAGCATTAAGTCCGCCATTTGCATTGTAAAGGCAATAAAGATTAAATAAAAATAAATTCTCTAACTTCTTTGTCTAAAACTTTGTATTGTAACGTTTTTCAATTATTGTTGTTTATTTGAACATGTTTGCAGTTTTTCCTTTATAAAACCTTAAAAATGACATTAATTGATAAAAAAACGTCTTGTAAAAGTTATTTTTTATTAAATAAATACTTTTAAAGTTATTAGTCGTTCATGTAGCGGTAAAAAACGGGCATTGAATTGAAGTAACAGAAGTATCCGAAAAATTAACTTACTTACCAATTTAAGCTGATGATGTTTTGTGTTGGATTGTTATCGATTAATTGCAAAAAAATATAAATTCTTTAAAATATTATCTATAGTATTAGTAATGAAAATCAATTGCACGTGTACAAAACTCTGATATTCTGCGTCATTGCTACGTTAACGACTCTATAACTTTAAAAATTTATAATAAAAAAAAGATTTATACAAAAGTTGAAGTTGAAGACGAACAAGTTTCATGTGATTTTTTTAACAATTAATGGAATTTTAAACGTTTTTTAAATAAAAAAAAAACAACAACGTTTTAATTATACAACAATAAATGATATAGGCAGTAAGAGGTACAAAAAAAAGTTTTAGACAAATAATTAAGAAATTTAGTACCTTGACGGCCTACAATTTTATACAATCACAACACCCATGGATAAAATTCATTAATTTTGACACAATGGTATGAAGGAGTTTTACGCCTCATTGTAAAAGCTAATACTTATCAAAAATATTAGTTGACACAACGATAATTAATAACTAGGTAGGTACTTACAGCAATAAAAATTAATACGGTTGTAAAAACTCACATTCAGTCAACGATCAAACTTTTGCGGTTATAGTTTAATCCAGCCAGTTTTACGATAAATGCGCACGACGAATCGTTTGGGACGAGTGCGGTACATGTCTTACCTCGAAAACGACACATGTCTTACCTCGAGAGGCGCTAGCGCCGCCGCGCCGGCGCGGCGCCGTACTGATCGGCGCGTAGATTTGCACTAGTATATATTGCATTTTACGGGTGATGTTTCGAGTCTTATAAAATAATAATTTATTAACTTATTATAAAAATATATACATATTTCAGTAGTTCAATGATTGTAGATTAGTTTCGTGAAAGTTTTTGATAATAATTCTATTTAATTCAATATCAAAATACGAGGTAAACATGCATTATTTTTTGGGAAAACTCACGGAAGTTAGATGTTTTTTTAATAATTAATGAGATTAGAAAATTAAGATTCTAATACATTATGTTACAACAAAAACATATTTCTGATACCGTAGTAATTAATTTGATATAATTTATTGAACATTATTGAGAGATTCAGGCGTTTGAAGTTTTGCATATTATCGTTTTTTCCGTAAACTAGCTGCGCTAGAACGATCAGTACAAAAAAAGGAAAATAGTATTTGTAAATATTCTACATTAACTTTCAAAAGGAAGAATAAATCTACTGTTTACTTCTATTGGAAATAGTCAAAATCTTTTCTAAGGGAGTAAAAGAGGCGCTCAAAAATTAAATTTTTTTGCAAAAAATGCGAAAGGGCTCTTAATAGTAATTCCGTGTATGTATTCATTTGTCGTTCTAGAATGACTCATAAAAAATTTTTCGCTCTGAGGCTCTACTATAAAATTCTACTGCTACAATTATCTCGTTTTTTGTGAAAGAGAAAAAAGCTCTGAGGTTATAAATGACGTTATTCTTAAAAAGTGTCATTAAAATGGGTTTGAGGTATTTTTACAAGTGTGATTTGTGCGGCAATTCTATTCTTATTAATTTAAGGGGCATACCATTAAAAAATGATGTGTTAACCTATTAAGTACGCGCGTTGGAAGTTCTTCTTTTTAAAACATAGAGTCATCTAACTTCACTCTGTTTAACTAAAAGGTAATATCCTGCCATTTGGAGTTTTGACATTGTATTCTTTAAATTCAGCCTCTTAATTATTCCCACCAAATGAAGAATAAATTCAAAAATAAAAATTGAATTGCCTGCTGCACCAATGCATAGGGCATAAAAATGTGTTTGAAATTCAGCATAGTAGCTAAAGAAACCTCAGATTTGATCATCTATTTGACTACACTTTTATGTGTTACGATGACGATTACGATGAATTATGCTCTATGCTTTCAGGAACTTAGCATAGTTATAAGGATTGTTTTAATCCACTTGCTTGGGATTGGGTGGCACTGAACAGGGTGTTGTAATCTTTATAACTATGCGTACTCTAGTACGGGAGGACTATAACTTTTATTTGTCACTTACTCTTGCTATGATACTGTCATCCATACATGCGATGTTAGATCCCTTGCATCTCATTTATTCATTGGAACATTAATTCCATCACATTTTCACATCCCATTCCATTCTATATTATCCTTCAATTGGTATTAAAACACCAAAAATCACCATTTCCATTAAATTCATTATCATATTACGCATTAGTAAAAAAACCATTGATTTTGCACGTAAAATTCAATCCCCTTGAATTTGTATTGATTCTCCTTCCTCTTTTCATTTGTTTCCAATGAGTAAACATTAGTATTATTTTCACATCCCATTCCATTCTATATTATCCTTCAATTGGTATTAAAACACCAAAAATCACCATTTCCATTAAATTCATTATCATTTTACGCATTAGTAAAAAAAAAAACCATTGATTTTGTACGTAAAATCCAATCCCCTTGAATTTGTATTGATTCTCCTTCCTCTTTTCATTTGTTTCCAATGAGTAAACATTAGTTTTCCGAAAATATTGAATGGATACTATGCACTTGTCATTTCATAGAGGCATTTGCCAATACCACCTTAGCATGGAATGTTGAATGACTGATCTCCCTACACCAGTTAGATTGTCCATGGATGTCTGTAGAGATTCATAAAAATAAAAAATAAAACACATTAAGCGAAGCGATAACTCATTAAAACAACATTTAAGGCAATCTTTAAAATAATGTTCTCTACTTCTTTTTAATGTCAAATACACTGTTTACCGGTTCAATCAATTCATTTAATAAGTATTCATCTCTTAGTATTTCACATTAAATAAAATTGCCATAGTATATTTACTATCATCAACCATTCATTCCTTCATACTAATATTAAGAAGGATTTTATTATTGATTTAATAAATATACATGTGGGCTTTGTGTGTGGTTATTTAACAACGCTGCTTCGGACTTGCTTTTTTAAATCATTGTACATATAAACAGGGAAACGCAAAAACCTAACAAATCAATTCAACTAATTTTGCTTTATTATTGCCGCAATGTACACTCTCTCAAACTATGTGAAAATATAACTCGTACAACATGTTTAACTTCCCAGGCACGAATAAGCTATTACAGATTATTTCAATATTATTCATCCGTTCGTTATAGGTCAACCAAAACTTAAACAGTGTAGGTACTTCTACTAGTACATATACTACTATAATCGCTCTTTTTGCTACGAAATAAGACCACTGCCAATGAGGAATTGTTATAATTTATTCATTATTGTTTCAATAGCACACTCAATATTGCAGGATTCATTTAATCATTTAACGACTTTAACAAAATACGTTTTTCGATCTTTTATTCGATGCAAACACAGTTTGACTGTTTAATTTCAAAATAATACCAAACTCAAGCAATAAAATCGACTACTTGAACGCGTTCTGATTTAAATGAGCCTTCATCGCTTTGTGCGACAAGCATCGAAATAACCACAGACAACGCTACTCTGCGGTGGCAGTACTAACGTGTGTGTATGTCGCCGCGTCAGGTGGCCCCCTCCCCGCACCCCCATCGCCACCACCACGGCGACCCCATCGCGACACACACCACCGACACGTTTCAGGCCGCGACCGACACCGAACCGACCCCTAAACCTACCACTACCCCTCCCACGACCCAAACTAAACCTACGACTACCCAAACTAAACCTATGCCTACCCAAACTAAACCTATGCCTACCCAAACTAAACCTATACCTACCCAAACTAGCCCAGTTCCTACCCAAACTCAACCAACGACGACAACCCAACTCACCACCCTTAAGACCACTACGGAAGAACACACCACCACCACCGAGGGAACCAGTCCCGAGCCCGCCTCTACTAATACGTATACGACGAAGGTTTGTCGTAACCCGCTCTCCGCTTTGTGTGTTTGCGACGCTTTTACCGGTCCGTAGTTGGCTTGGTTTTTTATCTTTTACTAATACCTGGAAAGGCTCCGCAGGCCTATTACATGAACAATAGCAAATTTGAACTTATTCAGTTTTATTTGAACAAAATTGCATACATATTACATAGTAACCGAGGCTTAGAACTATTTCGGATGTACGCCCTAACCCGCCGTATTTTCGCTTCACAATTCGATAGTAAAGCGTCCAAAATTTGTCGGATAATAGGCCTGCCGACCGCTAAAGATAAATACTACCAACCGACAGCCGATTTCCTGTGTGCTCTTACAGAATGTACATATTGAAACGTTCGGTCATCTTACCTTAACTGGTATGGAAATCTTTTGTCTAGAATTGCATTATAGTTTTTTGTAGAGAGTAGAACGTGTAGAATGAAGTGAACGTGTGTAGAGAGTAGTAGAATGAAACTTATTATTAAATACTGTGAATCATACATGTATAATCTTATTTACTATAATAATTAATCTATCAAGGAAAATTGTATATTAATTTTATAGTAGCGTATATTGGGCTATTAGTACCTACCACTTTATTATTTGTCATGAATGAAATACTTTAGTAATATAATATGTATTTTATATGTATATTTACAAATATAAAAGTAATATTTACTTTTTTTGTCAAAATATTTTACTTAAAAATAGATACAGCATGTTATAAGCACTTTTAGTAGTAGAAACAAAAAGGGACCCTCAATTCTTAACCATTAACTCTGTTTTCACTCCAATAGGAACCTGAAGTGAAGATAGATCCTATATCGGAGCCGGTTTCCGAGTCGAGCAACGTCAGTTACACTCTCAAACTACCGATTAATCCTAGGCTATACCCAATAGACAAGACTGAAATCATACCAGAGGAAACGCCCACAACACCAGAAGTTGACATGGTACGTATCACTATTAACGAATTAAATCATCCAAAGAATCACTGGACTCTCTAGTACCATTTATAATTAAGTTTTAATGTAGACCATTTCTTTAGAGTGATAGAGTACTAAATGGTTTGGTGACTATACTCATTGCATTCTTTGCATTTCTCACTGTAAAGTAGAATATAAAGGAAACTAATGTTGATAGCGTGTATCTGAATTAACTTGGATAGTTTTGGTGGAGTGGAGTACTTCTAATCTAGTAATTCATCACGCCCAATTTTTTGATTGACTATTCCTTATTATTTAAAGCCCAAATGAGGTTTCTTCAACTTGCTCTGCACTTATCAACTTTTCTTTGAATTCTTAAAAGGTCCTATAATATTTCGGTTATTCTCTGCTTCCGTGTTGGGCTATAAATAATAAAAAGTATCCTAACTAATATTCATCAAACGTAAAGACAACGTTATTTTAAGTAAATAATTTTAATGTTGAAAGAGTCAATTGCTCGCCACTTTTTAACAATAATAGCTTGCTCGATCTTAACATAAAGTTTACAATGTTTATCGCCTAAAATTGGCAGACCAACTATTTTATCGATTATACTTAATGTGTTTCTCGAGAAGTCTTCTATCTTATCACTTTATAGAATATACTGAGATGAATTGGAATGTGTCTGTAAATATGTAAATACTGACTGTGCCCCATATAGCATCTTGCCTTGTCTAAACTTTCGTCTCTCTTAAATCACCCGTTGTCTTCGCGTCTATTCACAACACATTCGTGAGCGTGGCATGGCACTTTCAGCAAACAGTAATTATACGCGAGACGTACAATCTACCGACCTCATCGGCGGCGTCTGTGCCGATGACGTCATCAGAGATTCCGACAAGCCCTATACCGGAGTCTACACCAATATCGTCGACGCCCGTATCCCCGGTGTCAATACAAGCAGCGATACCTCCTGTGGTATTACTGTCACCGATTAATACCACTACTGCAGTGCCGACAACTACTACGGAGCAGAGTACCACGCTGGTGGCTGCGTCTACAACCCAAGAGGTTCCAACAACTAGTCAGGTTTGTAAACATAATAGACAAAACGAACGATCTACATGTACCCTTAACCTCTATGCGCCATCAAATTAAACAGGCCGTAAAGAGACTACTTGTTACTGTATTTTTTTAGAAAAATCAAATTTAGCTTTATAGTCCAGTCGGAATAAACATAAGACCTATTCTAAGACACCAGCGCTTAGCCAATTTTTTCCTAGATAGTATAGACCCCCACGAATATGCCCTCCATTTGTCCCCGCTAGAACCCGTGTTTTGTAGCCAGGAAAATTGTTTAAACAAAGAAAAACCGGTTTTTTGCTTGTAAACGGGGATTTTGAAATTTTTTTTGAATCAAAGTTGTTCATTAGCTTGCCCTCTACAAAATCAGTTCTATGAAAAAATAACGTGAGATTGTTAGTTTAGCAGTAAATTGCAATTATGTCGGTTTTACGTTTGCAACAATTCAACATGTTATAATAAACATTTTGATTTCTAAAGTAGTTTATCATGTGGGTAACGCCACTCCCAAGAGAGTAATTCATGTAAAATTTATCGACCTGTGTCGCAAACTTTAGCAACAATTCTCAATCTCCGAAAAAAAAGTACTTGCCTGTCCCGTCTTTCCCAGAAGGCGCACAGCGGGGAAAAAAATTCAGGTGACTCGATTCACCAAGAATTTTGAGGAATCGATCGAGTAGAAAAAAATCATTAGTAAAAATGTTCGTTTTTGGACGATTTAAATTTTTTTTAAAAATTGACGTAGATTTTTTTATTTTTTTTTAACTAATGTATTTTTCTCTCCTCAACTCGAATATACGATTGAAAATTTAAAAAAATCAGTTTATTTATGTACAGAAATTATTTACAAAACTATTAACTAAAATTCGATTACAAGACTGCGTTGTATTCTATATTTCTAATTAAATTAATTTCGTCCTTTTTTCTTCCGGTTCATAATCGGAATTCTCAGGGTATATTAGTATTATATATATATATATATATTCAGAATAGTATATTCGAGTTGAGGAGAGAAAAATACATTAGTTTAAAAAAAATCTACGTCAATTTTTAAAAAAAATTTAAATCGTCCAAAAACGAACATTTTTACTAACGATTTTTTTCTACTCGATCGATTCCTCAAAATTCTTGGTGAATCGAATCACCTGAATTTTTTTTCCCGCTGTGCGCCTTCTGGGAAAGACGGGACAGGCAAGTACTTTTTTTTCGGAGATTGAGAATTGTTGCTAAAGTTTGCGACACAGGTCGATAAATTTTACATGACTCTCTTGGGAGTGGCGTTACCCACATGATAAACTACTTTAGAAATCAAAATGTTTATTATAACATGTTGAATTGTTGCAAACGTAAAACCGACATAATTGCAATTTACTGCTAAACTAACAATCTCACGTTATTTTTTCATAGAACTGATTTTGTAGAGGGCAAGCTAATGAACAACTTTGATTCAAAAAAAATTTCAAAATCCCCGTTTACAAGCAAAAAACCGGTTTTTCTTTGTTTAAACAATTTTCCTGGCTACAAAACACGGGTTCTAGCGGGGACAAATGGAGGGCATATTCGTGGGGGTCTATACTACCTAGGAAAAAATTGGCTAAGCGCTGGTGTCTTAGAATAGAAGTCGGTCCAAATTATGGCTATTCCGACTGGACTATTAGCTATTCAAAATAAAATTGCAAATTATGCTTTGTTTTCAATGCCTTTATCAAATATAAAATATCATTGATGTTTAATTAAGATTAATTTTATAGCTTCGTCTATGTTTTATAATTATTCTTCATATATTACTGATTTCGTAAGTACTTATATTTTTAAGACACTGCACTTAGTTTAATGATTAGTTGAGTACTAACTTTCTTTCTGTTGGATGGGTTTTTTTTAATTAGCATTAACTGTCACCGAATTCTGAACTTTTGGCACCTTCTTCAATTTAACAATATGATTTGGATGTTTATTTTATTCAAAATTTCTCCTACAGTCAACTGTTTTCTAGGTTTCTGGGATTAGTTTATTCTTTTTCATTTTATTTAATTTATAATTAGAATAATATAGTTACGGCAAGAATTGAAAAAAATCGATTTTCAGTAAAAGAGAAGTTTATTTTGGTCATGTTTCTTGATGACAGTTATTCTAAAATATCTGGGCAACTAAGCTCTAAATAGCCTATCCCTTACTAGAAATTGGTTATGGAAATTGTTTTAACCTGTTCTTTGTGGAATTGATCACAATATGCCGAAAACTTTCAAATCAAAGAAATATCACCAATTTAAACATGATTTATAAGTACAGTTGTGTAAAACTATTAAAATAAAAAAAACACTTCTAAAATGCCCTCAAAAACTGTCTTTTCAATTAAAACATCAATTTCTTTTTCTCATAAAGCTTTAAACAAATTAAATTGTTTCTTAAAAATGGTAACTCTGAAAAGCATAGTCTGAAAAACGTAAGAAAAATAGGTATGCTATCTCAAAACTCCGGGCCGATATTTCAGGAGCCAGCGCCATCTAGCGAGAAATCTAGCACTATAATCGGTCGCACGACGGAAACGGTGACGTTCCCAGCGCCGGTTACGATACCGCTACCTGTTAATCAACCGCCAACGCTCAAACACCACATGAAGAAACTCGCGATCACAGCTGGCAAGGCCTTCAGGTTAGTGGAAGCAAGAATTTTATTGGCGTGCACCTAAAACGATGCTTAATGATTATCTGAAATAATGTCTGATAGATAAATAATAATTCCTACACACTCACACTAATTAACCTAGTCCCAAAGTAAGCAATGTACGGCTTGTGCTATGGGATACTAGGATTACGGATACAATACATATACTGTGTCATATATAAATACTAGTGCAGCGGCCACCTGGAACTTCGTCCCCGTTAACTTCAGTTTTTTGAAAATCCCTCGGGCACCTAAAACTTTTCTGGGATAAAAAGTATCCTATGTGTCAATCCAAATCATGAACTATATGCAGACCAAATCCGCTGAGTAATTTAGGCGTGAGCAAATGCTCATCTTCATCATACTAACATTTGCCCCCACCGGGATTCGAACCTGGCGTATATACCACTCTGCCACGGAGGTCGTCGAAAATGTCTGATAGTTACTTTACTTTTAACACATCTCTTATTATAAACATTCCGCTTGAATTGAGCGGCCGTTAAGAGAAGTTACCTTACAAAAGACTACAGAAAAATGTCAGCACCTTTTGTGTGGTGTTGCGTTGCTGAGAGTTAGTTCGGTTCCAGGGTCTACGGGGAAAAGCTATACTGGTTATGGTAGACAACGCACGAATGATGCTCCGTTGTCGGAAGCCTCTAAATAATATAGTATTATTTTTGGCATAGAAAAATACGTGCATCAATATAAAAAAAGGTCACAAACTGACAAGGTTGAGCTTTGGCTGAAACATCTCGATATTGTGATACAGAAATCTCGAACTAATTTAAAAATCTTTTATGTATTTATAAGTTTATACATTTTGAATTATATCTAATAACCACATTTAATCCACTATCCAGATACATAATCCCTGCGGACCTGTTCACTGACCCGGAGGAGGGCAGCAACCTCACCTTCACCATGTATTTAGCTGATAACGTGCGTCTCAGCAAGACATCCTGGATACAGTTCATACCGTCCGGACGAGAGGTCTACGGATTGTGAGTATTGAACCGATATTGATCAATATACGAGTAATATAGGAACCTCACCTTCACCATATACTTGGTGGACAATGTGCGTCTCAGTAAGACCTTATAGGATACAGTTCATACATATAGGAACGATTTTAATATGCTATAGCTAGCAGCCAAAGATTTTTTTGAACTTAAATCGCTTATTAACCTTTCACATTTGAAAGATACTTTACCAATTGCATTAAATAATTTACTAAGATATTTTCCTTATTTCTGGAGTAATGAGAGAAATATCTTAAATAGGCGTTGCAAAATAGACAATTAGTTATTAAGCACAAAATACTTATTGTTAGATACCAATTATAGAAGTAATGAATATAAAACTATAAGATCTTGAAATAAATTGCTTTAATTTACATACACGTTTGCTTTATTTAATAGACAATTTACAAAAAATCATAGGCCGTATAATATGTCGCCAGATAAAAACAACATAATTGACCTGGCAATAGAGTTTAAAGTACGGCCGCTGATGTTCAAATCTCTTGCAAAAAAAGAGTGAGAATATGCTTAAAACATTATTATGCATATGTTACGCTCAAACATCGAAAACGCTCAGTGAGCGGAAAAATAGCTCACAACGCGTTGTGGTCACAGTAAAACATCCACATCGCGAAATTCGTGTTATGGCTGTAATGAAAACGCGCACGACGCGTTGTGGAAATCATAGAAAGACCAAATAGCGAAATTCGTGTCGTGGCTGACAAGCTATTCGATCTCAACGAGTTGTGGCAATGAAGAAAAGCCATGACGCGTATGGAATATTATTTAATTACCACGCACACTACTTTCCGATATGGATCCTACTAGGCCTAGGCTGGAAACGTTTTGGTAGATGTCTTTAGGAAATATTTTATATTTTATAAAATCACTGCATAGCGTGTTTGTCTTTATTAAACATGTTATATAATTATATTAATTGAAATAAAACGATATTTGTTATTTATTGAGATTACTGTATATTTAAAAAAATCAACGTATTAAGTAATAAATTACTGAACACAAAATATAAATCAATTGTAAATTACTTATTTTTTAATCCACTTATAAAATAATTAGGGATTTGAATTTTTTTAATGAAAATTTAAAATTCTTTCAAGTAATAAAAATATTTAACACAAACATAAATATGATTTTATTTATTTTTTAAGCATTTAACTGCTAGATGTTTAAATCTAAAGAAAAGTTTACTAGAAAAAAATCCTTTTACATTACTTTTCTTTAGATTTAAACATCTAGCAGTTAAATGCTTAAAAAATAAATAAAATCATAACTATAATTGCTATTTCTTCTTTCAAATGTTTAATACTTGAAAAAGTATTCATTTGACATTGTGGGTTACCTAAAATGCGAAGAGATGGCGCTGCCTAGCAGCTTAATAGGGCCGTGGTAGCATAATGGTCAGTGCATTCGCCCGGATAGCGAAGGATGCGGGTTCGAGTCCCATCCGCTGCCTGGTCCGCGTGGATTTTTTTTTTCTAGTAAACTTTTCTTTAGATACAAACATTAATGTTTATTGATCACCAATAAACAACAACAATGTACTAAATCAATTACTTATAGTAGAAATTACTATAATTGTGAAAAATAAGTATTTGATTGCTATTTATTTTTACAGGAACTATTACTGTGGTATTTTGAGTTGCATTTTATACTCTTGGAGTGACACTTGCACTTTTTATCAATACATTATCTTTTGCAGTGGCACATTATAAACCCTTCCTTACTTCCAGATGATAACATAAATGCTGAGCGAAGTGTTAATGACGAAGTTCAGGGCACATCACAAAAGTTAATAAAGTTGGTTTCAGAAAGTGTAAACTCATTACGTGCATAAAGTCTATCGAATGTACCTTCCTTGTTTCCTAACTGGTAGAGACCTGATGAATTACTGATCATAACAACATAACATTCCTGGGTGCTGCACGTCCTCTATCAACTTACAACCTGTCCGTCGTGATATAGTTAAAACAAAGAATGCTCAGAACGCGTCATGGCTTTTCTTCATTGCCACAACGCGTTGAGATCGAATAGCATGTCAGCCACGACACGAATTTCGCTATTAGGTCTTTCTGTGATTGCCACAACGCGTCGTGCGCGTTTTCATTAGAGCCATAACACGAATTTCGCGATGTGGATGTTTTACTGTGACCACAACGCGTTGTGAGCTATTTTTCCGCTCATTGAGCGTTTTCGATCTTTGAGCGTAACACATACATTATTACACCACCAATCCGCACTATACCCGCGTTGTGGGTGATGGCCCTATTCCATCCATGGGGAAAGCATGTGCCTTAGCAATGAGAACATTAATAGGCTGATGATGATTATTATATATTTATGACAATATATGTCTTTATTTCAGACCATTAGAAGCGCACGTCTCTCGCTGGAACTTCATAGTCGAAGCCCAAGACAGCGAGGGACTCGTCGCACGCGGTCCGTTAGACATAACGATCCAGCAACACAAGAGCGTTCGGACTATCAACCACAAGTTCGTGATGGAGTTCAAACTCATCAGGGACTACAACAACACGATAGACTGGCAGATCAAAGCCCTGGAAGGATTGGTTAACCTCTTCAGGGATACAGATATGGATCATTTGACTGTGTTGAATGCGACCCAGAACGGCGATATATGCCAGTTTGTGTGGACGAATGACACGCTGCCCAAGGACCCTGCGTGCCCGAAAGATGACATAAAGCGTCTTATGAAGGTATATCTATCTCTTTCATTAAAAATAAAGTTAACGTTTCCGATCACTTGATAAACAGCTGCTAACGTCCATTTTATGCTAGCTTCGTATTTGCTATTTTTCATGGCTATTTCGTATTTGCTATTTGTAAATTTAATGTATGTATATTTTTTGTATTATATTCTTATAATGGTCAACTCATAGAGAATGAAAAGGAGAGACTGCTATCAAATTTAAAAATGCATCTGTTAAACAATTGAAGTTTCTGTTTTCACACCGTCAATCATCCTTTCGGATAAATAAGATTAATTAGTATAAATTTCTCATCGATCCACCTACATTGTATAAACAATAGAGTCCTTTCATTAATCTTATTGTTTCCTTGTTCAGATAATGGAATCCGACACTGAACCGGGCAGTCCCTCGGCCGGATTAGCTCGCGCAATGTCGCCCGAACTCAAAGTCAGCTCCGTATCGTGGGAAGGTGTTGGGGCGTGTTCAAACAGCGCGGGTCCCGTCACCCACGCGCCGGATACATATCCTCCCGTCACCAGGAACCAGGTCGACCATCTGACCGCGACCGCCGGCCATCTGTTTATCTACAAAGTGCCCGAGGTGAGTGCCAATTGATCGAGTCTTACACCAATAAGGTCGGCCGACCTGACAGTGAGCTGCGTATATCCTAGGTCTACTAGGTCGATTAGTCATGATAATAGCAGCAACGCCAATAATATACGTGGGAAGGTGTGGGGGCGTGTTCAAACAGCGCGGGTCCCGTCACCCACGCGCCGGATACATATCCTCCCGTCACCAGGAACCAGGTCGACCACCTGAACGCCACCGCTGGCCATCTGTTCGTCTACAAGGTGCCCGAGGTGAGTGCCGAATGATCGAGTCTTACACCAAAATGTAGCATCAATTAATAGCAGCAGTGTGGCCGAACCATCTAGGTATACAGTGCTGCCAACGAAAGAATGCGATCCTGATAGATCGTGGGAATTCCTAATTGCGACAGTATTAGAGTTTATTTTTGGACCTTTTTTTTACTCGATTATTCGGTTAAGTCTGTTACAAGCTCTTTTGAATGTCATTACGTCATCGGTTCTCAAATCTACGGCGAAAGATCTTTTACTGAAAAGAACCTGCAGGAAACTCAGCAATGACCGTAGTTGTATTACCAAAGATATAGCATAAACTGGTCTGAACGGATTGAAGCTATCACTTGTCTCCAGAATTGAAAAAAAATCTTAACATAAATGGATCGCGTGAAGTCTCTGTAACTCCGCAACTACGACTTTTGACTATGTTACTTACTGTAATGCCGGCACTTCACTTGGCTATTCGTATTTGCTATTTGCAAACTTGACATCAGTCTGTCCTTATCACGCTTTATGAGGAGTGATATTGACAGACTGATGTCAAGTTGTGTACATAAAGAGAGGGAAAGCTTTAAGTGGTAGGTTAGTTAAAGCTGGGTTGTTTATTAAACGAATATTTATAATGTTAAATTACAAAAATCAAAAACGGTATAAATAACTAGATATTTGTGTGTTAATAGATTACTGATACAATCTGCTAGTTTTGGTGTAAGTCATCATTCATATCATAGTATGCCTGTACTAGTTATGTATCTAACTTATGTATAATTAATTATGTGTGCGTGTGGGTGTGTAAATGTTTTTAAGAGGTAAACTATTTAAGAAAGTTTAAGTATATTTTGTATTGTTATTGTTTCAAAAAAAAAAGTAAAAGTATCTTACTGTGTGTGCGCGCGTGTGTATGTAAGTTATGTGTGCCTGTGTGTGTGTGCATGTGTTTTTGTTTTTAATTTTTTTGTTGAACTAGATAGGTTTTTATACATATAAAATATTATAACGAGAGCTGCTGCCGACAAACTGTTACGCAGTTTGGCAGATGTATACATAGTGTTTACATGTGTAATATTGTGGAAAATAAATTAAAAAAAAGTTTACAAATAGCAAACACGAATAACCAAGTGAAGTGCTTGCATAACATAGGAATGTATGTATATATTATGTGTTAGTGCAACAACGCAGGATACAATTACTCTCTACTTATTAGATTGCTAAAGTGTGGCCACCTTCTCCACCTTTGCTCTTAAGATTATTCTGTGTAGAAAATATAAATTTCAGCGGAACATCGCAATTAACATTCTTGTAGATGTAACGATTGAATTGAAATGTATTCTCATCAGCGAGTAATTGTAAATTGTGAGTTACATTTATTTGAAATGAAATAACAGTATTAGCATTAGTATACTTTTATACAAATAGGTATGTAACTTTTTGAAGCGAAACTTCTTTACAAGCTTAAGCTGTAGAATGCGTTACTCGTTACGAAGTTTCACTTCAGTTGTGTGGTTAGGTTAGGTTAGGTAATTTTTTGAAGCGAAACTTCTTTACAAGCTTAAGCTGTAGAATGCGTTACGCGTTACGAAGTTTCACTTCAGTTGTGTGGTTATAAGCACACTCGTTTTTGATACAAATATTATGCTAGGATTGCTTTTGGAGTAAGATAGCCAACAATTTTAACATTATAGCTATGGGATTGTTACCATGTACCTTGTTTTTTATGAGTCTCCGATATTTTGGCACTGTTGCAAGCGCCATGATCACGGAGTAACTGAAGTAGATGGCCGTCTACTAGCAACTGGATCAATAAATTGTGGGTTACCTACAACGCGAAGAGATGGCGCTGCCTTGCAGCTTAAGAAAGGCTAGAAAGAATTCGGAAGAAGGCCATCAGGGCCGCGGTAGCATAATGGTCAGTGCATTCGCCCGGATAGCGAAGGGTGCTGGTTCGAGTCCCGTCTGCTGCCTTGTCAGCGTGGATTTTTTCTAGTAATATTTTCTTTAGATTTAAACATCGAGCAGTTACATGCTTTAAAATTAAAATTATATATTTCTATTTTTTACAGGACACGTTCTTCGACCCTGAAGACGGTGGAACCCGCAACCTTCATCTCAGCGTCCGTTACGACGACCGCTCCGAACTGCCCGCCGGCCACTGGCTTCAGTTCGATGCTAACAACCAAGAGTTCTACGGCCTGCCAGCGCCCGGAGACGAGGGCAGCGTGCCTTACCAACTGGTAATAACCATAGAGAATGCATCGACTGAGCCACACATAGTATCAACAACTTTCTAGAAAGAGAGGCAAACAAACTTATTTTTTAGCGTCCGCTACAACGACCGCTCGGAACTGCCCACCGGCCAGTGGCTGCAGTACGACGCCAACAACCAGGAGTTCTACGGCCTGCCTACGCCCGGAGATGAGGGTAGCGTGCCTTACCAAGTCTCGAGTCCCCATTCCCAAACTTTGGCGCACTTCAACTTTATAATTTTTTCGCCGATTCACTAAAAAATAAATTGAAAATATCTGTCATTAAGACACATTTTTAAAGCACTGAGACAGTTCGACGCCAACAACCAGGAATTCAGCGCCCTGCCTGCGCCCGGAGACCAGGGTAGCGTGCCTTACCAACTGATAATAAGCATAGACATAGAGAATGGATAAACTGAGCACACTCGATAATATTGACAACTAGGGGCTTATTTACTCTAGATCGCCATGAGGACTATGGCCCCGGGGCGGCAGCAAGAGCTCTGAGGGACGGCAAAAAAAATGGCATTCGTTACTACCCAATATTTGGATTTGATTTAGTTATTCAATAAATAGCTAATCCTTAAGTGGCCCGGGGCGACAGATTTCAAAATACGCTCCTGTTGACAAGTCTCTAGAAAGACAGGAAAACAACCACCATCTACTACTTCGTCTTTCCCACTCTTACTTTTATTTAACTTTTGATAAATATAGAAAGTATACATTCAAGTGGTACTGTGCTTCTGTCGATAAGTAATTTCATTGAGCTCTACGTGTTGGGTGATGGAGTCTGGATAGGCTACCTACAAGTACTGTAGTATCACAAACGTCTAAAGTCAATTGTTAACGTTAAGTGTAAAGGGCATCCTTGATTGCCACCATTTTTACAAAAAAATTGACTAATATTCATACAATTAGTCTTCTAGCTGTTTACGATCACAACAATGTACCTACGTGATGTTGACCATTTCTTATTTCCTCGACAGATCGCTGAAGATTCCAGCAAGAAGAGCGCGTACGACAGCATAGTAGTCGAAGTGCTGAAAGCACCTTCAATCAGGCCTACAGTGGAATTCCAAATGACGATGGAGTATCCGTTCCCCATGTTGGCTTACGACGCTACCAATAAGAGGAAGGTTGTCGAAAAACTGGCCGCACTCTTTGGACAAAAGGCCACGGACAATATAAGGATAGACAAGATCACTGATAACCCAACTACGATTATTTGGTGAGTATTAGAACCTTCATTCAGGCCAACGGTGGAGTTCCAGGTGACGAAGTAGTATCAGGAAGGTGATCGAGAAACTGGCCGCACTCTCCGAGAAACTATATAGAAGGACATAGACAATATAAGGATAGACAAAATCACTGACATCCCGATGTACTATGACATGACTTTTGTAGAATAATAAGTAAAGATTCTTTTGTTTTCTAAATTTCGGGACTTCGTCCATAGTTTCTGATCACTTTATGGTAAACATTATATAATAATAAGTAAACATTCAATTGCAAACTTAAATTCGTACTTTTTGTTTGTAGTTTTTTGAGAACCACATTATGTTTCATGTTTATATGTATTTTAAGGGCTTCTGAGTGAACTAATCAATCTTATTTTAAACATACCTATATTCCTTTTATGAATGCTGACAAGTTCCTTGACAGGTACAACACCAGCTTACCAATGGACAGGTGTCCTAAGAAAGAGATCGAGGAACTTAGAAAAATGATAATCGTAGACTACCGAGGCTCGGCCGCCGCTCTCAAGGAAAACGTCGACCATGTATTCGACAAAGACCTTAAAGTCATGTCGATAAGGCTCATTCCGCAAGGATTATGCGCCGAACAGAACACAAAGATACCAAAGACCACAATACAAGTGCACCCCGGTTCTAATCCAGTAAACCAGCATAGCAGTAAGACGGCTAGTGCCAATGACAACGGATATTTGATCACTTTCGTTATACCGGCGGTGGTTATCGTCTGTATGATATTGGTCGCTGGTATTATCGCCTGCGTCCTTTACAGAAGACGGCGAACAGGTAAGGGACAATGTATGTATTATTTGAACTTTCTAATGCTTCTTAGTAATTGCCTATGATCAGTATCACTGTAGATAGTGTCATTTATATTTACCTTTTTTTTATTCTAGAACCAGGTAAGTGTTTGAGCTTCCGTCATCATTCTATGCTTATTGTCTTCGTAGTAGTTTATTTGTTCTGTCACTCAATAGCACTTCAAAATCTTAGGGTTTCGTACTTCAAACGGAAAAAAACTGAATCCTTATAGGATCACTCTGTTTTCTGTCCATCTGTCTGTCTGTCAAGTCAAGATCCTTTGTCTGGGGAACGCGTAGAGGTATCGAGTTGAAATTGAAACTCTAAGGTCTTCGGTCCCTTTAAGCTGTGAAAAAAATTAACTTTTAAGTTAACGTAAAAAAAGTACGGTCGTTTATATGTTGCGTACCTACCAATTTTTACGGAAGTCTCGGTGCGTGATTCCAACACGCACTTGTTCAGTTTTTTTAATGAAAGAGAAGAATCCATTCTTAACTTATTAACTTAATTCCGATTGTGTATAACCAAGTTACAATAGACGACCTCTGTGGCCGAGTGGTTTATACGTCGGGTTTCATGGTGACGTCGACTCGAGAGGTCCCGGATTCGAATCTTGGTGGGGGCAGATGTTTGTGTGATGAATACGAGCATTAGTACTCCAGTCATGGATTTTTTATATGTATTTCTATATAAATATACTTATATAAGTACAATATATGTATGTATCCGTTCCCCTAGTATCCCATAACACAAGCCTTACAGTGCTTACTTTGGGGCTAGGCTAATTGGTGTGAGTGTTGGAAATATTTATTTATTTAAATTTCATTTCCTTAATATCACCTACTGAGAGCGCTTCACAATAATTTCATATTATATTTATTTTCTTTATTTACGTCACAGGTAAAATGAGCGTAGGCGACGAGGAGGAGCGGCAAGCGTTCCGCTCCAAAGGCATTCCGGTCATATTCCAGGACGAGCTAGAAGAACGCGCGGACACAGAGCCCGTCCACAAGAGCCCCGTGATAATGCGTGAGGAAAAACCGCCGTTATTACCTACCGCCCCCGACTATAGGCATGCGGATGACGCCCCTTATCGCCCCCCTCCCCCTTTCGCATCCACAAGAACCCCCCCTAGACCAAAAGCCACGCCCACATACAGAAAACCCCCTCCATACGTCCCGCCTTAAGACACTGCCTCATTAAATAAGTATATATTATTACTGTAGGTTAGCAACGCAAACCGCCGCGTTATAATGTTGGTAACGACTCAATTTAACTTTCTCGTTTGAATGTCATTGGAATTTGTGGAGATTTACGTTTCTGCGATCATTGCAAAATATCCTAGTTTAGTTTTTTATGAGCGTTATTATTATTATTAGAAATGTTTAACATCGTAACTGCTTCTTTTTCTTAAATCCGTTAACATTTATTGTATTTATTTTCACTTGAGCAATGATCGCACAGACGATCATTCAATCAATCGATTCTACGAATTCGACCTACAATAAAATACAAAATTGCATAAATATCTAATAAAAACTGCGTCCACAACTAGTCGAGTCGTTCAGTTGCAGCTGATTATTCAAATTAATAATTAATTTATTGACGACTTTTTGTTAATTACCCGTATTATCTTTGGCAGCATTTAATTTTGTATAAGAAAAAACTTTTTTTTTGTTTATTTAACGTAATATGCATTTAGTACACCTACATATTTTTTATGTTATTATCGTCGTAACAAGGAATTGTTCACATACACAAAGTGTAACTACGAATTTTAAAGCAACGTCATGAGATACCTGGCTTCATTAAAAACATGGTATGAATAGGTGTTGATCGTTTCAATTATGTAAAAATTTGAGACTTCGCTGAAAACTTACTATAAATAACTATAGTGTTATTGTTGAATTAGAGACAATGTTACTTAGCTTGATAGGTTAAGCATTGATTGATACGGCATGCTAATGCAATATGCCGTTCAGTACCCCTCGAATTTTAAAATGCAACCTAGCTACACCTATAATATTGATATGGCACAATCATGAACATGCTTTTTATTTGAAAATATACCTTAGTTTTTTACTTTCTTATTAATTCACTCTTAATAATGTCTCAAACTTAATGACATTAGTTTATTTAATGATAGATAAATAGATTTCTTATTAAGACTTTTAATATGTCATAAGATGCAACAGATTGCAGCTTGCGAATTGCAAATTTGGCACCTAAATAAAATTTTAAGACAGTTAATTTGTTCACCTATATATCTTACATACTACTAATTTATTTTCTGCTAAAAATATTAGCATTTGCTATAATAATAATTGTACAACTGATTTAAACCAAACCGAAACACCAGGTTTAAAGTTTTGGCTAAGTGTGTGCCATGGATTGAACTTGTTATATAATATTATTAAAAAAACATATCGAAAATGTAACGGTTTAGCCTTTAGAGTAGATCTTCCATACACGAATATGTTAGTTAGCGCGTGTGTATAAATGTGTAATGCGAATAAAAGTTGTAAATGTAGAACAGGGTGCTGATCTTGATATTTGGAAGCCTGCTATGAACATAACTTTAAGTTTCCCTGCTTTTAGAAAAAGACTTATTATATGCGAAAATATTACTTATATGTTCCTTGGATTTTTTATATCGAACACGTAATAAATAATTTATTCGTTTCGTTCAAAATGTTATTAACAATTAGAAAAATAAAAAGACTGATTATATTATGTTTAAGTTCCGCATCGTTATTTTATAATCATATTTATCAAAGATAATGCCTAAAACCATTTTATCGAATGTATGTAATTTGAAGAAACCTTAGTCGTCAATTTAATGTTATCAACGAAACATAATGTAGTAGATTTTGAAGTTGAATATGATCATAACAGGCTTCGATCGCGCCGATATTGAAACGAATCGCTGTTTATTGCATGGTTAAATCGAAATGATTAGATGATGTGTACACTATTCAACAAAATTAACTAAATGTCGTAATGAATTATACAACTGACTCTAGTTATAGGCTATGAATAGATATCTAAGGGTGAAATATCATTTTGTACTTGTCTTATTAATTATTACCATAGGTGTAAGGTTAACAAATGTAAACTATAGGAACTACTGAACGAATGAGCTAAAATGTTTTTTATTGGAAAGTTTTTTTTTCTACTCTATACTCGTGTAAAGAGTTTTGCATTTATAGATCTTTTTTATTATTATATACAGTGTAACGAGTTATTGGATTTCATCATTATTTTAAATTTTCCTTCTTTCGATAATTCAATGTACTTAAAATGTAATGTCCACGTGAAAGCCGTACCATTTTTATCTTTTATTGTTTAATATATCCTTTTATTTTGCAGTTCACATACTCTTACTTTATACACATTTCATCAGAAACGCACATAATATATTATTTATGTAGTTAATGAGCTTTTTATTTTCAAATAAATAAATTGATCTAGTGAACTGTGTTTATAATTCTTAATCTTTATTTTTTAATACCTACTTAATTTCACTGTAATAAAATTATGAATTCAAAAAATAACAATAATATGAACGTCTCATTCCAACTATGCATATAGTAAGTATCTTTGGATTTAGTTAAGTCAGCGAATTTCCATATTGAGAGACCACAGATAGTCCAGTCGGAATAGCCATAATTTGGACCGACTTCTATTCTAAGACACCAGCGCTTAGCCAATTTTTTCCTAGGTAGTATAGACCCCCACGAATATGCCCTCCATTTGTCCCCGCTAGAACCCGTGTTTTGTAGCCAGGAAAATTGTTTTAACAAAGAAAAGCCGGTTTTTTTGAGTTTTTTTGCTTGTAAACGGGGATTTTGAAATTTTTTTTGAATCAAAGTTGTTCATTAGCTTGCCCTCTACGAAATCAGTTCTATGAAAAAATAACGTGAGATTGTTAGTTTAGCAGTAAATTGCAATTATGTCGGTTTTACGTTTGCAACAATTCAACATGTTATAATAAACATTTTGATTTCTAAAGTAGTTTATCATGTGGGTAACGCCACTCCCAAGAGAGTCATGTAAAATTTATCGACCTGTGTCGCAAACTTTAGCAACAATTCTCAATCTCCGAAAAAAAAGTACTTGCCTGTCCCGTCTTTCCCAGAAGGCGCACAGCGGGAAAAAAATTTCAGGTGATTCGATTCACCAAGAATTTTGAGGAATCGATCGAGTAGAAAACGATCGTTAATAAAAATGTTCGTTTATGGACGATTTAAATTTTTTTTAAAAATTGACGTAGAATATTTTTTTTTTTAAACTAATGTATTTTTCTCTCAACTCGAATATACTATTCTGAATATATATACAGGGTGAAATTTAATGTTTTAATGAAACTTCGTGGGATTATTGGGTTACGTATATAGAGTATCTCTGAATTTTTTAAAAATGATTTAAAATAAAATTTCGTTTTTTTTTGTTATATTTTAATCTCCTTTTGGGTACTAAATAATTATTCTTTTTAAACACGCATACAGAGTAAGTAAAAGACAACTAATTAGCACTACTAAAAAAACGTAAAAACAGAAGACGAGCGGTCGGGAGCAATGACCGCTCCCGCCGTTGAATCGGTTGAATACCTACCTATGCGCGGTGCAAAGCGCAGTGAGCGAGCGCAGTGTCAAGTTTATCCACCGCGCGTGCGTATCTTTTAAATTTGTGACAAGAGAAGATTTGCAAATAATGGCATGATTAGTTCTTGTTCTGTGGCCTCAATATAAGAAATTGGATATGGTGTGTTGTTATTGTAGTCTCACGGAATACTCAGCAGAGCCACAAGGCTTTACGAAAGTAGGTTTGGTGATTGATTGTGTTTACAAAGTGTATACGGGAAGTTTAAGTGAAAAAAATGAATAGGTACATCGGTATCGTAAGTACTTTTGAATACCGGGTTATAAATTTCACCCAAGTATTGAACTGCAATAAATACCTATTTCTTTTTGTTTAACATTTGCCTATTTCTAATTGTGACAAAATTATTATTAACTTTTAAAGTTTTTCTCTGCTTAAGAGAAGATGACATTTGTGCTTACTATTTCAATAAAGGCATCTAAGACGACTTTATTGTATTGTGTGGAATCAAAGGAGTCAACTGAACTCTGTGTAGAGGTACCTACTCACTCAACGGCTGGCGGGCGCGGTCGGTCGTTGACCCGCCGTGGAATTTTAATGTTTTTCCATTTTTTAGAAGTACTTATTTATTAGTTATTTTTCACTGGATATGTAAGTTTGTTTGTTTAAAATGAATAACTACTCAAAAGGAGGAAAGGGTATAAAAATACACAAATTATAAATAAAAACATGAAAAAAAAATACTTCAAAAAAATCCGAAAAAAAACAGGCATACTCTATACACATAACCCAACAATCTCACGAAGCTTCATAGAAACATTCAATTTCACCCTATAATGGGTCGATCAACTTTTTATTGCTACATTGCCCAAAATAGTGTTTTTTAAATTTTTTCGTAAAGAGTTACTTTTTTAAATTTCATATAATAGATGATTTAATAATTTTTATGGTCCGGTAACGGGCAATGACGTTCTCTTAAATTACAAAAATTTAGAGGAAAAATATCCACCAACCTCAGCAAAATCCGTCCCTTGGACCACTAACAATATAGATTTTTTAAATAACTCAACTAACAATAATAATTAGAGAAAATCCATTTTTTTATTATATTGTAACATTGTCTCTACATTTTAATATTCGTTTAAATAAAATAACGTATAATTTATTTAATATTCTACTACTAATGATCCGTTGTCCAGGGGATCTTTTTTGCGTAATGAAACTTTCCTATAAAACTGAAAATAATGGTAATAAATGCAACATTATACCACGGACCGTTTAGTTTAATTTGTACTTTCTATCCTTCTAATAAACATAAATAATTTTATAATTTAAAGCCAAAAAATCAAATAAGAACTGATTTTCAATGCGGGGACAACTTGGTTGCCCAATGGACATTAACAGTTGTCCAAAGAAAATACTTCGACTTAAAAAGCATATTTTAGTGTTTTATTTTTAAATAATAAAAAAAATATAAATAAAGGTAAAAAAAATATTCAAATTCTAATGGTCTTACGACGTAGAACGGTCTTTATTTTGTTAAATTGAAATAAGAACTTTTTATTCCTGGATTTTCAGACTTAAAAGCTTTAAAAAGATTTTTCATAGACTCCAAAAGAAACCGTTTTTGCATCTTCATTTTGCCTTTAGTGACAGTTTCTTTTTTACCAGCGGTATTCCTTTTTTTGAAAGTTCTGTATGTCCATGGCTCGTTGTTGTTTTTGCCCTGACTTGATATTTTAAATCTAAGCTCTTTCATGATTTTATTTTTTTGCGCTGTATCCATGTTATCAAACATATTCTTCCACTCAGTTTTCGCTCATCTGTCTTTAGTTTTCTTGTATTTTTCTTTGATAGCATTAGTCAATATATTATATTTATAGACTACCTCACAATCTACCTTAGGATTATTCTCTTTAGGTTTTAAATTCTCTTTCACCTGAACTAATTCTTTCTTCTTACGATTAGCTCTCTTTTTAAATTTTTCTTATTTTTTCTTCCACATCTTTGCTTCAATTCGTAGTTTCAAATTTTCTCTTTACAATTAGATCTATCTCTGCGTTCTTTTTTTCTTCCTCTTTCTTTACATTCAGGATCCAATGTAACAGCAGGAGAAGGAGGCGGTGTGACTGCTTGTTGTTCTTGCGGTATATCAAATTCCTCCAATTTTTTAGGTTTTCCTACCTTTCCTCCAAAATATTCGGAGAACTTGCGGGTTAATTTATAGATGTTTATTACCAAAATAATATTATTTGTCCTAAGGACAACCAAAATGTCCTACGGACCACCAATTTCGTTGTCCAAGTGACTGGTTGTCCGTAAGACGTTTTATAAACTTTTGGCTTCCTATTAAATAATAACGTTTTATTGCCTCTTTTCTTACTCTCACAGTAAAATCTAGCTGACACAACATCTAGTACAATATAGTTAATTGTTAAATATTGAGTACTTATGGAATTCTGGCGGTTGTCCGCTGGAACGACAATAAGAACACGCACTTTCACTTACGGAACTCG